TATGTATGTAAAAGGAGAATGTATGTATGTAAGAGTGAAAATGTATGTATGTAAAAGGAGAATGTATGTATGTAAGAGTGAAAATGTATGTATGTAAAAGGAGAATGTATGTATGTAAGAGTGAAAATATATGTATGTAAAAGGAGAATGTATGTGCGTGAGAGGACCAGTATGAGTTACGGCCTGTACGGCCCCTCATAGATAAATGTAATAAAGGGATCTACAAACATTACATTGGTGACATACAGTGAGATGGTGCAGGCATGCGCTTAGGGCCCGCTTTCCAGCCAGTTTCTGTGGGGTGACGCATTTTGAGGTGAGGCAGAGCTCATCTGTGCCTCACCTCACCACACAGTAACTGGCTTGAGCGCGCTCACAAAATAAGTGCCCGCGTTAAATTAGTGCCCGCGCTCCAGCCAGTTACTGTGGGCTTACGAGAGGCAGAGCTCGTCCCTGCCTCACTTCTCATCGCTACCCGTAGTTGTAGCGGAGCTCGTCAAATTTGCTGATTTTAACTATAAAAAGCGATTGGAATCATACATAAATCACATTTACAACACAGATCAGTGGAGACATGTTATTATTATTACTATTTAGTTGTTTTTTCGTTACATTGGACTGGAGTATGACAGGTGAGGCTCTGCCTCCCCTGCCTCCCCTGACTGCACGTCGCTGCTGTATAATAGTGAAGTGATTGAATATTATTGTATTCTCTTTTTTCGGAGTTGCACTTTGCAGACGGTCCCTGAGCACTGGTTTCTTCTCCGGCTGCGGATAGAGACCAATGTAATGTGTCCAACTCGGAGGACGGCGCGTATTGGCTTTTTTTGATCAAAATGTGATTGTAGTTTGTTGTCAACCTTACCACGGTACTTAGGAGATGTCATTTGTGTCTGAATAACGTTTTGTTCATGAGTTATTGATCCGTGAAATCAGAATCTCCCAATATGTTCCAACTTTACTGAACTAAGCCAGAAGACCGTCTCATTTCGTAGACCGCTCGGTTTGCTGTTCCTTCACTTAATTTTTATATTTATATAGGCCTACATTTATTTTGGACGAAAACTTAGCGTGAGGAAAGGCAAGTGTGGCGTGAGTGCGTGAGATATTAGTTAATTGCGTGACTCTCACGCTCAATACGTGAGTGTTGGCAGCCCTGCCCGGGTGTCTGTAGCTAACAATGCTATTTACACCCGGGTGTCCGTAGCTAACAATGCTATTTACACCCGGGTGTCCGTAGCTAACAATGCTATTTACACCCGGGTGTCCGTAGCTAACAATGCTATTTACACCCGGGTGTCCGTAGCTAACAATGCTATTTACACCCGGGTGTCCGTAGCTAACAATGCTATTTACACCCGGGTGTCCGTAGCTAACAATGCTATTTACACCCGGGTGTCCGTAGCTAACAATGCTATTTACACCCGGGTGTCCGTAGCTAACAATGCTATTTACACCCGGGTGTCCGTAGCTAACAATGCTATTTACACCCGGGTGTCCGTAGCAAACAATGCTATTTACATCCGGGTGTCTGTAGCTAACAATGCTATTTACACCCGGGTGTCCGTAGCTAACAATGCTATTTACACCAGGGTATCCGTAGCTAACAATGCTATTTACACCCGGCAGTGGCGTAGCCAGGAATTATTGTGTGGGTGGGCCTGGAGAAATGTAGGTGGGCCAGGGGGGAGACATATTAAGTGTGGGGTCTGAGCTGAAACTTCATTAATGATTTTAATGATTTTTTTAATGCACTAATAAGCATACATTAGCAGTGAAGACAAAAAACATAGGCACGGCGGCCTCAGAATGCTCGTAAAACTGACATCCACATAGGGATGGGCATCGTTAAGGTTTTAACGGTACTACTACTTTTATCGATAGCGCTTATCGATCCGGTCCTTTAACATTACCTTTATCGGTTCTTTTGGAGGAAAAAATAAGGTAAACTAACTAAACAAATTGTGAACAAAACTAACATTGCTTTTTATTTAAATTAAATACATAATATTTCACATCAAAAGAAACAACGTTTTAACAAATCGTATTAAATAATCTGATGACAGAATTGTAAACAGAATAGCTGAAACTTTAACAAAATAAATAATTCAGTTACCTCTAATCATTAACCCATGTTTGTATAATGTAGTTAACTCCGTGTGTTGCTGCTAGCATACATAACATACCTGACGTGCAAACGTTACTCGTAGATGGGGCTACAGAGCTACTAGAAAGACAGTCGAACCCGGTGCATTTCTCCGTCTGAATGTGGTGCACTTTTGCAAGATGTTTTGACAAATTGCTCGTGTTACCGCCCTTACATGCTAAACTCTTATTCCACTTTTGGTAACGAGTATTGTCCACATCGACACGGCTATAGTTTAACCACACCTCGGAGCGCGTTTTCTCCGCCATCTCCTCTGTGTGTGTGTGTGTGTGTGTTGCTGCATGTAGCAGCTGCGTGTGTGTACACTGCCCCGCCCCCTCGCATACAGTCGGGGAGAGAGATCTCTCGACTGGATTGGAAAGATCTAAAATACTAAAAATAATCAGACGCATTTTGCAGTCTTTTTGCATGTTAGAAACGGAGTTGGCGACACTTAAACTGCAATGTAATGTTTGTGTAACAATAATACATACGACATATATCGGGGGCACAGGTTGTTTATCCTTGACAGTCGCACAGTGGGCACACACTGAGTGTTTTCATATTCAGAAAATGTGTACACGCTAAACTGCAGACCTCAAGAAGAAATAATACTTTCATTCACTCACGGCAAAAGTTACTTTACTTACTATAAAAACTCACGGTAAAAAAATGCACTCCCTATTCCATTGTCATGAAGGTGGAATCTAACTATATCCAGAATACGTTTTATTGGATCCAGGCTAGAAACATGTTTATTTCTGCTATAAAGTTGGGCATTTTAACATGGGGGTCTATGGGAATTGCTCCTTTTTGCATCCATCCCCTGTCGGCCACTAGATGAACTGCAGTTTGTGGCACTTCCTTCTGGGCTTCCCGGCTCTGCGCTATGAAGCGCTGATTGGCTGTGGGTGGGCCAGACGTGCATGTGGGTGGGCCCAGGCCCACCCGGGCCCACCCACAGCTACGCCACTGACACCCGGGTGTCTGTAGCTAACAATGCTATTTACACCCGGGTGTCTGTAGCTAACAATGCTATTTACACCCGGGTGTCCGTAGCTAACAATGCTATTTACACCCGGGTATCCGTAGCTTACAATGCTATTTAAATCCGGGTGTCCGTAGTTAACAATGCTATTTACACCCGGGTATCCGTAGCTAACAATGCTATTTACACCCGGGTGTCCGTAGCTAACAATGCTATTTACACCCGGGTATCCATAGCTAACAATGCTATTTACACCCGGGTGTCCGTAGCTAACAATGCTATTTACACCCGGGTATCCGTAGCTAACAATGCTATTTACACCCGGGTGTCCGTAGCTAACAATGCTATTTACACCCGGGTCTCCGTAGCTAACAATGCTATTTACACCCGGGTATCCGTAGCTAACAATGCTATTTACACCCGGGTGTCCATACTTTTTTTATGTCCTAAGGTTGACGTTAAAGCTACACACATCTGATAGTAAATCAATCCAGCTTAGGACCTCTTTCATTTTATGTTTAACACTCAACATTCGAAAAGACGTTTGAAGAAGAGCAAATATAGAAGAATTTCAACTCGATACACAACGTTTTATTCCTATAGATTTGCAGTAATATGTAAATCAAAGCCTGATTCAAAGCACATTCTTCTCCTAAAAACATGGCAACAGTTGTTTTCTTTTTATGGCTTAAAGGTCCTATTATCCTCTTGTTCAACAACATATTAAAGGTCTCGGATACAAAGCATGTCTCTGAAGTGTTTGGCTGACACACCAGACAGATCGTGCATTGATCAGTGATGGAGCCCTCTGCTGGCAGACAGACTCTCACATGATCCTTTAATTTCATCTGTGCTGCTTTTAGAATGATACAAATACCATGAAGTGATGAAGAGGAGAATCAGCTGACTGACTTCTGCAGCTCTGATAGAAAGAGGAAAGAACAAAAACAAAAAACTGCTGCTGGAATTTCTCTCCACACAGTTTTCCTTTTGCTTCAAGTTTCAGCCTCCAAAAAAAACAAGAAAGGAGGAGAGAAAATGAGAAACAGACCATGGCGAGGAGGAGGAGGGGAGCTGGTCTGGGATCAGATGTCTGCATGCCGAAGGAGGAGGAGGAGGAGAAGAAGGAGGAGTTGTGGTGTGTGTCTGCAGCTCACATCAGATTTTCACACAAAAGCCTGAAGCTACCGAGAGAAAATCTACCGACTGTCTGGAGGAAACTGAAGCAGGAATAAAGAGACCTAAAATCTGAAGAAGATGTAAGAAAGGAAGCGGCAACAGGGTAATTACATCTGGGAAAAAGTGGGAAGTGTAAGGAAAAGTGAAACTGCTTCTCTGCTGGAGCTGAGTCGGCACATTCTGGATTCTTCATGGGGGAAAATACTGAGAAAAGTTTAATTTAAGGAGATAAAATCAGCTTTTGTCACTTTTTCTTCACGTGCATTCGGATCTAATCTTGGGGAAACTTAAAGAGTCATCAGCTGATCTGCGGAAGTATTTTTTTTTTTATCTTTAAATCACATTATTTGGATTCTACTGAGACGGGAGATGGAGACGACAGGATTTTAAAGTTTTCTGGTAGAGTGACGGGGGGAGAGAGAGGGGGAGGATGAGGGAGGCGAGACGATGACCTCCTCATGACTTCCACCAGAAAAAGGAAGTAGAAAAAAACAAAAACAGATGCTGAACTTTTACCGAAACCGACTTAATTCAATGTGATGAACTCTCTGAGGACTCGACAGGAAGTGACCGATTCAAACGGAACCCTTCAAATTAAGACTCTGGTGTTTAACAAAGGTGGAGATGAACTGAGGCTAACGGGGCGTGACCTCTGACCTCCGTGCACACGCTGGTTCCTGTGGGCATGCAGCCCTCCTTCTCCACTCAGTTCAGCACCATGAGGTTCTCCTACCACCTGAACACCTCCCCACCCACTGCCCCCCCACACAGCAGCGCCTCCCCCAGGACAGGTGAGTGAACTGCAGCTTCAATTAGTGACACCGATTTATACCAAAGTGCATCGGTTCCCTAGAGGGCCGCGAACGCATTGCAAGTGGGCCGCCAAATCATTTGCACATGTTCTGAATTATTTAGCCTCCGTATTGTTTATGGTTGAATGTGGGCCGTGAACATTTTTTAGATTCTTAAGCCCTGAGTTGAAAAAGGTTGGGAACCGCTATTGTATTTATAATGCTACTGCTTTCACTATACTGTATATTGCTTTGTTTATCAGACCTATAGTGTATTTATAAGTTGACTGTAATGTGTATTTCAGTCAATATTTGTATTTATACTTTGACTATCCAGTACATATCAGGCCTATAGTGTATTTATACTTTGACTATCCAGTACATATCAGGCCTATAGTGTATGTATACTTTGACTATCCAGTACATATCAGGTCTATAGTGTATGTATACTTTGACTATCCAGTACATATCAGGCCTATAGTGTATTTATACTTTGACTATCCAGTACATATCAGGCCTATAGTGTATTTATACTTTGACTATCCAGTACATATCAGGCCTATAGTGTATGTATACTTTGACTATCCAGTACATATCAGGCCTATAGTGTATGTATACTTTGACTATCCAGTACATATCAGGCCTATAGTGTATGTATACTTTGACTATCCAGTACATATCAGGCCTATAGTGTATTTATACTTTGACTATCCAGTACATATCAGGCCTATAGTGTATGTATACGTTGACTATCCAGTACATATCAGGCCTATAGTGTATGTATACTTTGACTATCCAGTACATATCAGGCCTATAGTGTATTATACGTTGACTATCCAGTACATATCAGGCCTATAGTGTATTATACTTTGACTATCCAGTACATATCAGGCCTATAGTGTATGTATACTTTGACTATCCAGTACATATCAGGCCTATAGTGTATTATACTTTGACTATCCAGTACATATCAGGCCTATAGTGTATTTATACAGTTATTACAATGTATTCTGTATATCAGATCCTGTAGTATGTTTGCTTTTACTGCAGTACAAACTTTATATTTCAGAAATATATACGTGTTCCTAAACCATTCAGTACTTTATGAACCAACAGTGGTATTTTGAAGTTGACAGACAGTGTAAAGAGCTCAAAACTGGAGTAATGTGATCCCCTTTCTCTGTGTCTGCAGCTGTCTTATCCATTTCTTTGTTTTATTTGCAAACACACTGTTGGAGTAGTTAAGTTTTCTCTGGATGCATACTAGAATAATTGGTGGTTCTCGCATACCTCCACTGTAGACAAAGGATAAAGAAACAGAGAAAAGTCTTGTTGAATTATTAATAATACATCTTATTCTACATGTATTTATCAGCTGCTTAAAGAAAAACAACCACATTTATTGTATATTGACGGCATCAACCACACATTAAAAGCTAGTCTAAAAAGGTCAGTTATGGTCGGTGTTTTGAAGGGGGGGAGGCCGGTCCGGTCTCTGATTTGTTGTGGGAGTGAGTTCCAGATGGAGAGTTTGTTGAGGATGTTGGATGATGAGCCCATGGATGTGTAATAAGAACTGGATACAGCGTCGGAGGCAGGGTCTCGTTCTTTCCTATGAGAGCTGCTCATTGGCGCAGGAAGGCAAAATGGCCCAACTTTTGAGAGAGCGAAACGTCACAGATTACCCATCATGCCTAGCTGTCAGAGCAGAAGAACCCGTATGTGCGCTCATAGAGCATGCGCCCCTTAAGCCCCGCCCCCCGCCCCCCGAGCTCCCACTCTCGGCTCACTAGAATGAATGGAGACAGAAAATAAATCTAGATTCGGCTTTTAGTGCATTTTACAACTTTAAGGACCTAATGATTATAATAAGGGCTATAAAATAGTTCATACTGGGTAGTTTATTTAGTTTAAAAAAAAGTATCCGCTGATTTACAGACATCTCTTTCCCAATGTTAGTCAATGGGGAAAAGTCTTTCCGGGCCCAGTGACGTCACGGACTGATACGGAAGTTGTAGTACCGCCATTTGGACACAACGAATATTTTCATCAGAGTCCGGCGCACTTCCTGGGGGCTTGGATGAGCCATACAGGATGCTGTAAATTAAGGCTAATAGCAATTCACAACACCAGACCACTCTCACACACCTCGTGCCGTATGATCCAAGTGTCATTAATCCATTGGTATGCCCACCACACAAACACATGACTTTACTCTAAAAACACACACACACACACACACACACACACACACACACACACACACACACCACACACACACACACACACACACACACACACACACACACACACACACACATACACACACACACACACACACACCACACACACACACACACACACACACACACACACACACTGGTGAGTGTACGAGGCCTCCTGCTGTGAGGCTGAGACTGGACTGATGTTTTGAGACTGTGTGTGAACACATTAAAGCTCTCAGTACATACACAGGAAGTGAGGCTGGGACACACACACCAGTATTTAACCTCTGACCTTTGGCTGGGTTGGGCCAATCAGCAGCGACAGAGTTAACGTCTTGATAAAAATAACTGGTGTTGTTCCAGCTATATTTAACAAATGTCTTAGTCTCCTGTCAAATGTCTTTGTTGGGTTTTATCATCTGTAGTTTCCCGCCTCCTGTCTTCTCTCTCAATCGAAGAAAACTGTAAACATTGTAGTCCAGGAATCTGTTTATTCAAGTGTTTTTATCATATTAATATTGAGCATTTCAGTTTGTGTAGTTGAGCAATATCAGCTTTTTACTCTTTCCCGATCCCTGTTGTCATTTTGACTTTAAGTGTGTTGATTTAGTGACAGATGGTGAAGTGGTTTAAAGAGGGAAGGGAATGAAGGATGCAAAATATAGAGTAGGCTATGTAATGACTTCAAATGTGGGTTTACAGCAAGGAATTATATGTGCTTATATAAAGAAGGAGTTAAGATTTCCTTTAATTATCTTTGTTGGAATCGGGGAAAAGCACCAGCTAAAGTTGAATTGCTGAATGATACGACTTTTACTTTAAAATGGGTCAAAACGTGCTATTATCGTGGAAACTTAAAGTGAGAGTCGGGGGTTTTATTTTGAAAAACAAGCCTCGTCTTGAGCTAACTGTAGGATATGTTATGATACAGTTACTCTGACTTACTTGGGTCTTTCATTTTGAAGAGCTGGGTGCCGTTAAATGGGAGTTTATTACTAAGGAAATGTAAAGAATGAAAAGATATTGAATAAACGTTCGCAATAAAAACTGTATTAAAACCTTTTTTTAGAAAATGAAAATAAAGAACTAACTTCCTGGTTTTAATTTTGTACTTGTGAATTCTTAAATGAGACCAATCGTAAACAGGCAAATCCTCCAATCGGTAATCAGTAATCAGTACTGATAAAACTCGAGCACACAGTTAAAGGGGGACGATCAGGATGTGTCCAGCTGCAGATAAATGAAAGGATGTTACTGTGTGTGTGTGTGTGTGTGTGTGTGTGTGTGTGTGTGTGTGTGTGTGTGTGTGTGTGTGTGTGTGTGTGTGTGTGTGTGTGTGTGTGTGTGTGTGTGTGTGTGTGTGTGTGTGTGTGTGTGTGTGTGTGTGTGTGTGTGTGTGTGTGTGTGTGTGTGTGTCTGTAAATATGTGTTGTTAGTCATCGAGCTTCCTGTGTCTGCAGACAATAACATCAACAGACTGAAATATGAATCAGATCGACTATACGTCTGGGAATCCATTTTTGTTTTATGATTGTAATAAAACAGATGTCTGAGTTGATATGTTATCTCTTTGTATGTTTAATAAAAGGTGATGGTCTCCGTAGTTAAACTGTTATTATACTTAATGTGGTTCTGCAAATAAAGATGAAATATTATTTTGATATCTGTGGAAAACAGAATCTCTTAAAATGTTTCTGTGTTTTTACACAATACGATGAACACAGTTGAAATGGAATGTTTTAAAGATTATTGCATGAATAAATCAGTAGAAAACATGAGGCAGTGTTAACATGTCACATTCAGTTTAATATGCCCATGAATGTTACTTTCATATTGTGTGTGTGTGTGTGTGTGTGTGTGTGTGTGTGTGTGTGTGTGTGTGTGTGTGTGTGTGTGTGTGTGTGTGTGTGTGTGTGTGTGTGTGTGTGTGTGTGTGTGTGTGTGAGTGATGGGGATTGGCAGGTCGTCGCTGCCCTGCTCTTTAAACCACTTCACCATCTGTCACTAAATCAACACACTTAAAGTCAAAATGACAACAGGGATCGGAAAGAGTAAAAAGCTGATATTGCTCAACTACACAAACTGAAATGCTCAATATTAATATGATAAAAACACTTGAATAAACAGATTCCTGGACTACAATGTTTACAGTTTTCTTTGACTGAGAGAGAAGACAGGAGGCGGGAAACTACAGATGATAAAAACCAACAAAGACATTTGACAGGAGACTAACACATTTGTTAAATATAGCTGGAACAACACCAGTTATTTGTATCAAGACTTTAACTCTGTCGCTGCTGATTGGCCCAACCCAGCCAAAGGTCACAGGTTAAATACTGGTGTGTGTGTCCCAGCCTCACTTCCTGTGTATGTACTGAGAGCTTTAATGTGTTCACACACAGTCTCAAAACATCAGTCCAGTCTCAGCCTCACAGCAGGAGGCCTCGTACACTCACCAGTGTGTGTGTGTGTGTGTGTGTGTGTGTGTGGTGTGTGTGTGTGTGTGTGTGTGTGTGTGTGTGTGTGTGTGTGTGTGTGTGTGTGTGTGTGTGTGGTGTGTGTGTGTGTGTGTGGGACATGTTTTGGGTCAGGGACATGATCATTTGGTATTATGGTAATTCTGATTCATGGAGCAGTTTTACTTTAAGCAGTAGACAAACACCTGTACCATGTAGTGCTGCAATACTGTGAAACACTCACACTGCTGTACATGTGTGTGTGTGTGTGTGTGTGTGTGTGTGTGTGTGTGTGTGTGTGTGTGTGTGTGTGTGTGTG